AATGCACATATTTAACTAGTACCCCCCATAAATTCCAGTAAGTTGGGCCATGGTCACAACTGAGAAACCCTTGTTGTAAGGGTACAAATGGGGTGGGGGAAGGAGGGGAAGCAAGACAGGAGTGTTCAGACCGGGCAGGGAAAAGGCAGGCAGGGCTCTGAGCAGGTGGGATACAGACTGGATGGATTTCGATGGGTCCCAAGCAGAAGAGGTCAGACATGGTAGACCCGAAGAATGGATAAAGAGGAGAACAAGGAGCTGTTCTGTGATATTTCACCCTCAGAATCCTTTCTTTAGCGAATCCCGGGAATTCTAACCTGCAAACCAAAAGAACCAGGGGATGCTCTGATTTACTTGGGTGAAAGGGCTCTCTTGATCTCTGCCACTTCCTGATATTTCTGAGCCAAATTCTACCCAAGTTTTGCAAAGTTAATTTTTGGTCAGACCAAAAAAGAGAAAAGGCACACAGGTTGGTCAGATCACGTCAATGCCTGAGGATCTAGTGGCTGATGTTTATTTGTTCATTTGGTAAATATTTTCCTGAGAACCTACCACAGACCAGGGACTGTTCGAGCATATGAGCAGTATGGTCATCCATCTACTGTGTACTTTGTCATTCTTTCTCTGCCCCACAGCCCAACTCCCAGAAATTAGGGAAAGGAGAGGAAAAGAAACTAAATGAAACTCAGTCCATTGATCTACTGAACTAATGGATTTATGAGCAGTTTGACGGTGGAGTCCTGGAAATTGTCAACAATAAAACCTAAGGCTTCTCTCTAAGTGCTCTCCATATGAATTCTGCCATCTTCATGTGTAATGTTCATGAAAGTAGCAACTCAGGTCCTCAAGACAGTGTTCCCACAAAAGGATATTCCATTGGGAGAGCCCCAGATAGCCAGAAGCAGCAGTTCCATTGGGATAAAACCGAGGCATGGCAGGTGCTAATGGCCAACTGAGGGACATCCCCCCTACCTGCCACACCGCCCTTATCAAGAGTATGTGACCTGTTTCATAAGCCCTCCCTTCCATTTTCCCTCAGAAAAGAACACACAAAGCTCACCTCTTAATATTCCCAAAGAATGCTGTTTTAAGAACCCGGCTGTCTGGTGCATGACAGAAATAAAAAATTCCAACAACAAAAATTACTATTCAAAGTAAAGTATTATTTTAGGGTGACATTATTTTTTTAATTCACATTTTTTCATTTGTTATAACATGCAGCCGTTCTGTGAACACATAGATAAGAGGATACAATAGATATTTGACAGTGTAGTTCTCAGAATATTTGCATATCCAAGAGATTATTTCAGCAAGTATACTTAGACTGACCCTATTAACCATTCACAATATTTTGTCTTGAATCCAATTCGCACTCTATAGACATGTCCAATTCACATTTCAGCTCTTATGCTGTTTTCTCTTTTAGACTTTATATTAGGAAATAAATCCATGACATCAAATTTCATGACAACATCTGCTCTGGCTGACATGATTGAAAGGGAATTTCACTCATGCCAGGTTATTTTGTTTCTTAATTTGTTCTTTATCATACCTGAGAAGCAAGCCTGTTTTATCAAGTCCATTGTAGAGAATGGAAGCTACTGCTGCAGAATTCACCACCTGTACCAGCCTCAGCAATGTTGGAAGGTGATGACAAGAAGTGCTCTGAGGCAGCAGCATTGACAGGGTAGCCAGAGAGTAATTCCCAGGCATGAATGGCTGTGCTACTTGTGGCCAGGCCAGGTCTGCCAAGCTAGCAAGCAGAGCATTCAAGATAAAGGTACATTAGTGTGTATAATGTGCAATGACCTTTTATGGAAAAAAAATGTAATGGTCAAAAAATATTAGTTCCTATGTATATTAGGGACTCAGATTCTTCTTGTACACCAATGTTCCCAAGAGCCAAAAGGGGTAAAGAATTCAACTGTCCATCAAGAGATGGATGGATAAACACAATGTGGTATAGCCAAACAGTAGAATATTATTAAGTCCTGAAAAAGAATTAGATTCTGTACATGACCCAACACTGTAAAACATTATGCTAAGTGAAATGAGTCAGACACAAAAGGACAAATATTGTATGATTCATTTTATATGAAACATTCAGAATAGTGACAGAAAGTAGCCTGGAGGTTTCCAGGGGCTTGGAAACTCCTGGGAATAATGGGGATTTAATGCTTAATAGGTGTAGAGTTTCTGTTTAGGGCAGTGAAAAATTTTGGAAATAGTGATGAGAGTTATGAATGTTATAAATGTAATTAATGTCACTGAATTGTATAATGAAATATTAAATAATTATATTAGAATAATTTTATATAGACATGTATGTGTGTGTGTGTGTATATATATATAATGAATATATATATATACACACACACACGGAGATAGATAGATAGATATCTCTCTCTCCAGGTAAATCCTAAAACCAGACAATCAAAATGAAAAAAGAATGTGAAAGCTGTAAATGTGAGATTAAATAAACTGAAGGTAGAAAAGAGAGCAAGCAGCCACCCCAGAGTCACTCAATTCAAAGTGTCCCAGAGAGAAAGACACCTAATGTCCTCTTGTTGCTCGCTGGGGCTTCCCCTATGGAGGTGGGTGTCTGTTTGCAGCACATACGTGTGGCGGTGTTTACAGGCTTCATCTCCTTCCTGTGGGGCCGTGCAGCCTGTCTTCTCTGGCTGAGTTCCCCTCTGTGCCTGCACGCCTGGCATGGAATGAGGCTCCGGGAGCAGGTTTGCTCCTGAACACACCTGCGCCTGAGGAGGACAGAGCGGGACTTCCCATCCCCTTCCTTCCCCCAGCCCTACTTCCCTCCCACCCTCAGAACAGCTGCTTCTCCTACTGCACACTAGGAATTCTGTGTTGCACTGCTGTGAGAAACGTGAAGGGATGCCGTAAGGGAGCCTGTGGGGTGTAGAGAGGTCGCCTCCAAAGCTCACAGGTCATGCAGGCCCTGCCCACCTCTCAGCCTCCAGCTCCTAGCTGCTGCCGTAAGGAGGACAAGCGACTTAGGGAACCGTTACGGGAGCCCATACCCAGCGTAGGCAGCAGGCGCAGGCAGGCGGGCAGTAAAGTTTCCAGACCCCCAGGGGATGTAATCACATTCTCCAACCAGGTGCTGGGAGTGAGGCTTGTGGCTTCCAACCTTCTTGGCCGGAGGCCAGGATTTCCAGGCCTCCCCTCCACCCTTCGGCTCCTTCCCATCATCTTTCCAACCAGAAGCTTGTTAACTGTTTTCCTGTGCTTTTATTCAGATTTCAAGGCACCCTCTGTGTGTTAAACTTCAAAGAAAGTTTGCTGCAGTAAGTGCAATGCTGTAACAAGTGGAAGCCCCAAACAGCTCTGTTGAAATTTTTTTTTTTTAAGTGAATCGGATGGGGACTCCTTCCACCCCACCCTTTCTTTCAGATGAAATTGCATTTGTGTCTGGATTAAGTTGCCCGGTATCAATCCTGAAATTTTTAGATGAAAAGCAGAACAGTCACACAATATTTAAAATGTGAAATGATTACAAAATGGCACCAGGCCAATGTTTATGAATCATCGAATATGATCATAAAATCATAAAAAATAATCACCAAAAGGTAAATAAATTACCCAGCTTACTGCTTATTTTCACATAGGGTCTGACACAAAAGCTGCAGCCATGAATGATTTATACCTGTTTTAACAATAATACTCATTTTACTGAAAGATGGTCAGCACTTGGGCTGCTGTGGGCAACATGCCAGTTGTCGAAAGGTTAATGTTTCAGCAGCAATACATTAAATTATGAATAATACCAGTCCCAAAATGGAAGGTTATTAGCTCAGTATGCTTAATTAGCTCAGCTAGAACTTTGCCATCAAATAGCAGTGCCCATTACTGCAGCCCTAGCGATGATGGGGGATGGCAGTGCTGGGATTCTAATGCCAGCAGCGGGGGCAGGTGGGGCCAGGAGGGGTGGGGGGCATGTGCTTTCATTTCTTTTCACTCAGAAGATGGTTTGCAGGATTTTGAACTCCCCAATGTTTTGTCTATGGAGACTTCCCAGAAAAGAAGAGCAGAAATTACTTAGGAGGGACAAGGACATGGTCCTTAGCATTGTGGACCCACCAGGACCAGGCATTTATTGAGCAGCTATTGTGTACCAGGCACAAAGTAGTTAATGAGGCAAACATGTTTGTAGATCTAAGGCAGGGGATGGCCCTTAAACAACCATCTGTGCAATTAGTGCATTAATTGCAGCCACATGACTGGCATGAAGGGAAGGTTCAGAATGTCAGCAACCTGGACTGGGGTAAGAATTCTCAGAGGCTTCCTGAAGGAAGCACCATTTGCTCTGATCCCTAAAGGGTGAGTAGGAATTGGCCAGGAGAATCTCCTGAAAAAAGTCTTCCAGGCAGGAGTACCTAAACCATGCCTGAGTCTCCAGAAAGAATGATTCTAGAGAAAGAGGCAGGCATTGCTAAAAAAGGAGTATTGGGAGAGCATTTGCCTGCCAGGTCCACGAGACTGTCTTTGAGCACCTTGCTTGCATGGCTATGTGTGCATGTGTGTGTGTCCACACCTGGCCCACAATCACCCCCACTTCCTCACCCTATCCTGGCTTTGCCCTGCCAGGTGCTCTTGTTTAAAACTCGAAGTTGGAGCCAGGAGGAGGGCTGGGATTCGCCCAAGCCTCACCAGCTACATCCCAGCTGTCTGCACCACCAGCCCGCTCTACTTAGTACTATTAGTAGCTTGTTTTTCTAAGTCCTAAAATTCATTTTCTTTTCCCGCCTTGCTTCCAGAAAAATAAATAAAAGTGAACACATCACTCATTTAAGACGAGGAATGGAATTTAGGTTGCGTTTTTCTTTCTATTTTTATGATTAGTTAGAATTTTCCTGGGAACGCCGCCAGGAGGGCATTATGGTGAGATAATGTCCTGTATTTAATCAGTCCTGCAATGGCGAACTGTGTTCTGTGGGGAGAGGCCGAGTTAACGCATCCCCTACTGTCTTGTCTGTTTTCAGGATCCCACGGTGAGCCCAGGATGAAGACAAGACTGAGAGGTGGCAGGGCTCCAGGCTTGGGTGATGGCCCTCGGGTGAGCAGGATGCAGCCGTGACTCATTCTCTTCATGCAGGACCCATCGGCTCTGAAAGCCTGCAAACCCCAAAGGAGCTGAGGGAGAAAGGCCCCAAAGCTGGCCAGAGTGAGCAACCTGCAGGAGCACCCAGCGGCCACCGCTGGCGTCTTCGTTTGCAGCTTGCCAACGGCGTCTGCTGGCCTGGACACGCTTCTTGCTTTCAAATGCGCATCTCTCCCCCTTGCAACCCAAACACAATGTGTGCAGGGGAAGCACAAGGCTGCTAAGGGAACCTGGGAGTCAGCAACAGGTAGGACCGGCTCAGCGCCTTATCTCTGTGGGTGTCCGGCTGTCCAGCTGTCCCCACAAGCTCTGCTGGAGGCAACAGCTGGTGGCTTGCAGTATTTGGAGTTGTTCTTGTGTTCCAAGGTGGTTGATCCATCACTGAAGACAGAAAGAATCCCGGGCAGTGGTAAAATAGAAAAGGATGTCTTAGAGAGACGTCCGAAAGGAAGGAAGAAAATGAGTACCTGGGGGTAAAAGAACAGATTTAGCCTCAAGAATAGGAGCCCAGAGAATAGGTGAATGAAGGCAGATCCACCTTTCTCTACAATTAGCGCTAGTGGCCAGGAAAACAGGGGCGTGTGGGGCATACACAGCCTTTCACATTCACTGTTGTCCCCATTAAATGTGGGGTCTGCAGGAGCCATCTGTTGAGGTAGGGGCAGTGGAGAGAACAGGATGCCCCAAGCAACCCATAAATAGCAGGGTGAAGACAGAGTGTTTATTACTTAGCCTCATGAAGCCCGTGTAAGGGCTCTCCCAGGGTGTGAGAGAGCAGGAGCATGTGTGCACTGGCCCCCGTGCGGCCCGGGAGAGTCCCAGACCCGGGGTTCGCGCTTGGCTTGATTCTATGAAGGCATCTATTTGATGGAACGTACTGGAACAGTTCATAGCCAGCCCAGCAAACCTCGTGTGGAGACAGAGCTTTCTTTTTCTCTTTCCTTTTCCTGTTTGCAGTGAGAATGAGGCCTTTCTCTTCTCGGCCCTTTGCTCTCCCCAAAGTTGTCTCACGAGGTCATTGCCAGCTGACAGGCTTCCTTTCAGTGCAAGGTTTGGATGGAAACAATGCTCTGTTTTCTGGGGGGAGGTGGGGGGAGGAGGCTCTATGCCTATTCCTGGCTAGGCTGTCCTAAATTTAAATGGGTTATTGTTTGTAGTAGGGCTGTCAGTTTCTGCAGACATTTTGGTCTATGTGATGCAAGACTTTATCCTGTTATTTGTGTGTGTGTATATATGTATTTATATGTGTATTTATTATTATATATGTGTGTATGCCATCAATTTTGAGCAGCAGAAAGGTGGTTTAAGATCATTGTATTTGGTTTCAAGCCAGGTTCGGCCACTCACTAGCTGTGTGTTCTTGAGCAAGTGACTTACCCTCCCCAGCGAGGCATTCGAGTCTTCAGTTCAGACTAGCCTTCTAATTTAAACACTTTGGCTCTGTGATTGCAAGGTGCTACACTACCATGTCCAACAATGAGCCCTTTCTTTGAATAGTTTGTACATCAACAGAACTGACTGCTAAGAGCTGTCAAGGATATGCGCCGAAAGTTCCGTTGAATCTCCTGAATACTGAATTTACTGGTTTGCGAAGGTTAATGGGAAGTAATGGAATGTAGAAGAGATCTGTGTTGTCAAGTTCTGGGGTCTTGAAAAATCCTTACGGATGTACTTAGGGTTGTCAACTACAAAAATCTTTGTCACCCACAGATAATATTTTGAAAATTAAGAAGAACCTTCAAAGACTATATACTGGGGATTTCTGAGTGAGGCCTCAGCCCTGCCCCTTCACCCTTTCAGCTGATGAGGAATAGCAAATAGATAAAAACAATTCATGGAAACTAATGTTAACTATTCTTGACCATTGTTAATAATGATCACATATCAAAATATCAAATTTCAGAGGCCTCAGAGGAGACTGGTAGGACAGTGACAGGACTTAGCAAGGCCCAGCCTCTGCGATGCGAGAAACCCTCTGACATACAAAGCCGGGCTGGTGCTGGCTGGCTTTGCCAAAGTGTCGCCGGCATAGAAGTGTGCACTGACCTTCCAGGAAGGTAAGTCAGGAGCTGGGCCAAGAAAGAGGTGTTCCCTGGAGCTCTGCCAATCAGTGGGCATCACAGCCCTGCAGCCACTTACAGCCGCTGCCAGCCCCTTTGCAGATCACCATGAAGTGGTCTCTCCTAGGCTGAGTAGCCAATCCCCTTTCTGGAAAAGCCCAACCCTGCTTCTCATTGGCTAGAGGTCTTTCCTTCTCCATTAGCCTACCCGCGTTCTTTCCTGCCTCCCTTCTGCAGATGTTCATTGAACATCTACGGTGTGGCAGGCACTGTGCCAAGTGCCCAGGCCTTGTGCAGTCCCTGGCTCAGAGTGCTTTCAGCCTCATGGAAGATAATCAGGTGGACAGATAATCACAACATACTTTACATAGAGTGATGCACACTGAACTTGGAGAGCACTAACCAGGAAACACTAACTCAGCCTAGAGAGGGTCGCAGAGGAGGCGTTTCCGATAGATATCTGTGGTGACAGGGCAAGGCATTCCGAGCAGAGGAAGCACAATCTAGATGGGGCTGATGGATCCACAATCATCTTATGGCTCGTGACTAAGATTTGGGGAGGAATCAAGCCTGAAGATGAGTTTGAGCACATGCCTCACCCCCTCAAACTTCAAAACAACCACAGTTGGGCTCAGATATTTCTTCATCCCGTACCCTGAAGATAATTCCCTAGACCTGGACATTAGTGGCGGGAACCTCCCAATCTTGTCAGTCATTCATAAAAGACTTGATGATCACTACTAAAACCTGCAGGTCCGTCCCTCGGGGTGACATCCTGCCCCAGGTTCTGTATCTGCAAGGATGAGAGGCCTGCCTGGTACATTCATCCTTTCTCAGAATGCATCTGGAGTCACCGAGCTTCTGCTGTCCGACACCTGTACCTTGATTGATGACAGTCGGTACAGGGTCAGTGGGAAAGGCAGGAAGCACTACATCCATGATCTAATCACAATGGAGTCCTTGATGTTTCTTGCATTAGATTCTTTTTCAATGATATAAGGTGGTTTCATGTCGGCCCAACTGTCTCCTGTTTGTGTTCTCCTTGGTAAAAGATGTGCATGGACTAAAGAGATGCAAGCACATCATGTGAACATGTAATACCACCTTTGCCTTTGGAAGTAGGTGTATGGCTGTGCAGGCTACTGAGATCTGGGCCCAGAGCTGTATTATGTCCCTACGCAGAGGCCCACCAGGCCCGGAGCTGTGCCTGTCTGCTTCTGGCTCTCTCTGGCTGCCCCACCCCAGCCTCCTACCACGGAGATTAAGTAGTGTGACCTCCCTTTCCAGACCTAAGTAGAGCCAAGACTCCCCAATGACTAGTCAGCATGTCCAGCACTATAGGAATTGGAAGACCGGCCTTCTTGCGATAAGATAGGTTCCTATGAGTGGTCCTGTCTTCTGGAGCAGATGTCCCAGGATGCCTGATCTCCTCCACCTGTGCACACCTGACTGCCCTGACGGGCAAGACCTGCTGGGTAATGTCTTAGGCCTCACTGGATTACCTGGATTTGTGGCCCCACAATGTGCTCCCACTTACCACACCCACCTGGTCCCTAAAGCCGTGTCGGGGTAGGGTGCCCTAATCCCCACTTGCCCTCCTCATTCCTCCCTTGCTCTTCTGCGTGCGTAGGTTTGACACTAAGGCAGCCTTCATTTGGGTGATTCCTCTCATATTCCAGGCTCTCTGTAATCACGGAGATGGTGAGCATAAGAATATGAAACAAAGCAGAAGTCTGGTTTGGGTTACATACATTTTTGTCCCTTGCAATTTAAAATGTTTCCTGATCTTTGAACCACATTAAATCTCATAATATATTAGAATCTGGTGACTCCAACCTTTTCGACTGGCACGAGCCCACACTGATGGGAACAAAGCAGTCTTGTCCATGAAAGAAGATGTACGAATGCCACTTGCTTAGAGTCTCATGGGATCCACGCCTGTCATCCTCCATTTTTAATTAGAGCTGTAATCATCTCTCAAGGGGCATCTGGAGGTTTCATTAAACCTCCCAGCTTCCCTCTGATATCTAAAACTGGCAATGTTTAAAATCTTTGCCAAATCAAAAATAATAGGAAGTTGGGGAAAATATATCTGTCATCTAGGGGCTCCAGATAAAGTGAGTTCCCCTTTCATTCCTGTAGGAATAAGACTTCCCTGTAGTCAGCGCAGAAATGACACTCTTTCCAGTTGGTACGTTTGCTTCACGTCTACCTCACATTCCTGGGGCTTTACAGTCACCAGTTACATCTTTAGAAGCAGTGTTCAGGGCCCCTTTAAGACCAGGAAGGTGGTTCATTGATGCTTCTTGCATGAATCTACTGAGCCTGGGCTCCTCTGTCTGTGGAGAAGGCAGCTGCCCTCTGAATGGTGTTCACCAAGAGCCTTTTCAGTAAACCATTCTGAGATCAAACCTAGAACTGTCAGGAATGTTCCAGAACCTCTCCACTTCCATTCAGGCTGCCATCCAAACCAGTCTACCAGGTAGGGGCTTCCAGACTTGGTACCCTCTCCTCACCATAGAACGGCAAAGTATCTTACAGGAGCTATCACCTGTGCGTTGCTTGACAGACCCACAAGCAATTACATGACCTTTGAGATGGAGCTGTCTCTCTCTCCATTTTCTTAATTGAAAAATTTTATTGAGATAATTGCTACTGGCATTTTGCGCTGTGTAATTCTATGTTGGTGGAGAGAGGCTGCCCTGTGAGTTGTAAGGCATTTAGCAGCACCCCGGGCTCTACCCGCTAGATGCCAGTGGTGCCTGTCCCTCATTTGTGACAAGTAAAAATGTCTCTAGACATTGCCAAATTTCTCTGGGGTGGGGAGGCAAAGCCCCCGTTGTGAAACACTGCCATATACCTCAGGCAGGAAAAGTTTGCAGACCTGGGGCTGTGTGGCTCTTCCTGTGGGGGAATGTTATGGAATATTTGTGGAATCTTCTCTGGCTTATAAGAAACAAGAAAGATAAGCTGTGACTACGAAGACAGTCACTTAACCCATGGAAACCACAGGACCTTCCACCATTCATTTCCATCCTACATTTACTCTACTATCACACATATCAGAGAATTACTCAGTTATATTAGCAGTTGTGTAGAAGGAAGCTAGATTTCCTTGTCCAGACATCTCATCTCCTATTGACCTACTTTGTCTACATCATCACAAGGGGTTTCTCATTAGAATTAAGTCTATAACAAATTTTGTTTGCATGTCACACTGACTTAGCTCCATGA